AATCCTGTTTTTTCCGTATGAATGCTCCAGCCCAGGAAACTCCCCCTTGCCTCCCTCCTTCTCCCCCCCCCTTCCTCCTCCGGGGATGCCAGACCACAGAGGTTGCTGGACAACAGAAGTCTGGACTATAGAGGTCCAGCCTATGCCAGTGGACTAAAGTTCTGAACCACAACCAAAACAAAAAAATCCTTTTGGATCGCAGGATGAGATTTTCATGTTGATCCTGGAGGAATGGGCTGTTTGGACCCATTTGAAGCCTTTTTCTTTTGAATTCCAACGGGGAGATTGCTCAAAACTGAGCCTTTCCCGTACACAGTAGCCGTTTCAACGGACTGACGCTTCCTGACGAAACACCCTTCCCACGGATGGCTCCCCGTGAGCTCTCCCTAAACTTGGCTCTTGGCTGCCCCGCGTACCTTGAAGTTCTTTTTCCCAGGCCCCGTCTGTGCAGGATTTCCCGTCCACGTCAAGCTGTCTCCTCCAGGGCTTAAGTCGGTTTAACAGCAGGGCTGTGGATTTTTCATGCCCCTAAACAACATCCAGTCGAGCGATGTAAAATCCCATTTAACTGGTTCATCAGTTTTTAACGCGTGGTTTAACTGGTTAACTGAGAGCGGGCTGCTGTGTAACTCCACTGAAGGAGGCCAAGCAAGGGCTGCTCCAGCCCAGCCAGTGTAGCCCCTGTCTGTGGCAGGCCCTCTATGCGGCTGGATCAGCCCACGGCAGGCGGGGAGGTGCTCCAGCCCCCACCGGTTAGCCATTCACAGTCCTAGTCTAGCATACGCCTGACTCTAGTTTTCCCACCCTGGGATCTCCCTTTGGCTTAGAACCTGGGGTACTGTTCACCAAATCTGCCAAGCTAGTTGCTCAGCAGGGGGCCAGAAATAACAGTGCAAAGCCAATGGCCTTTTAAGTACCTGCAGACAGAGCCCTGGGGCTGTGTCTACACTGGGCCACTTATTCCGGAAAATCAGCCGCTTTTCCGGAATAAGCTGCGAGCTGTCTACACTGGCCCTTGAATTTCCGGAAAAGCAACGATGCTCTACTGTACAAAATCAGCCGCTATTCCGGAAAAGCTACGCTGCTCCCGCTCGGGCATAAGTCCTTATTCCGGAACACTGTTCCAGAAAAGGGCCAGTGTAGACAGCCCAGTAGTCTTTTCTGGAAAAAAGCCCCGATCACGAAAATGACGATCGGGGCTCTTTTCCGGAAAAGCGCGTCTATATTGGCCACAGACGCTTTTCCGGAAAAAGGGCTTTTCCGGAAAAGCAGCCTGCCAATGTAGATGCTCCTTTTCCGGAAAAACTGAAAACGGAATAGTATTCCGTTTTAAGCAGTTCCGGAAATTCATGCCAGTGTAGACACAGCCTGGGCGGATACAAAATTTGGTATCCGCAAAAATGAGCCTCAGATCTCATTGGCTTTCGTGGAGGTGAACACCCACGCCTATAAAGCAGATGTCTGCACATTTGAAAGGTTCTAGCTACAACATTTGTATCTCATCCACATCCGCATGCATTTGCAGCAGGTATCCACATCCGCGGATGCAGATACCTGTGGCTATAAAGCAGATGTTGGTAGATTTGCAGGGCTCTCTGCCTGTAGGGGATGGTTATCTGAGGCTGCATGTGCAACCCAGCCCTTCTGGAATGAACCACTCATATTGGTACACCACTCACCAAAACAATATGCTAATGAGGGACTCATTTGCATGAGTCGTGATCTCATTTGCATATTTTCTGCCAATCCGTTTTTGCGCAAAAACAAGCAGGGTGGACGTTTTCTTTTTGTGCACAAACCCCTTTTTCCGCAAGATCGGTAAACCTCGGTTTTTTGGGGCCTATGGATCTTGTGGAAAAAGGGGTTTTGGCACTAAAAGAAAACACCCAAACTGCTTGTTTTAGCGCAAAAACAGTTAGGCAGAAAATATGCAAATGTGATCATGACTCATGTAAATGAGTCCCTCATTAGCATATTTTTTTGCCGAGAAAACTTGTCATGTAGATGTAGCCTCAGGTAACAGCAGAGACCAAAAAAAAGCCAAAACAAAACAAATACAGTACAATGTTGTGTTAAACTACTACTAAATATTAAAGGGAAACTTTTTAAAATAGATTTGACAAAGTAAGGGAACCATTTCTGTGCCTGATTCATAAACATTAAGATGTTAAACACATTTTTCATGTGTGAGTTCTTTCAGAACTCTTGGGTGAGTGCCATCTGGTCCCGGTGACTCATCACTGTTTAGTTTATCAGTTTGTTCCAAAACTTCCTCTAACGACCTCTCAATTTGGGACAATTTCTCAGATGAAAAGAATGGCTCAGGTTTGGGGATCTCCCTCACATCCGCAGCTGTGCAGACTGAAACAAACAATTTGTTTCTCCTCTCCGCTATGACTTTATCATCTTTGAGGGCTCCTTTAGCATCTCGATCGTCCAGGGGCCCCACTGGTTGTTTAGCCGGCTTCTTACGTCTGATGTACTTAAAAAACATTTTGCTGTAACTTTTTGAGTTTTTGGCTAGCTGTCCTTCAAAATCCTTTTTGGCTCTCATTATATTTTGACCCTTTTTTTTGACAGAGTTTATGCTCCTTTCTATTTTCCTCACTAGGATTTAACTTCCACTTTTAAAATGATGCCTTTTTATCTCTCTCTGCTGCTTTTACTTGGTGGTTAAGCCACGGTGGCACTTTTTTGGTTCTCTTGCTGTGTTTTTTACTTTGGGGTATACATTTAAGTTGGGCCTCTAGTGTGGTGTCTTTGAAACGTTTCCAGGCAGCTTGCAGGGATTTTACTTTTGGCACTGTACCTTTTAATTTCTGTTTAACTAACCTCCACATTTTTGTGTAGTTCCCCTTTCTGAAATTCAATGCCATAGTGTAAGGCTGCTGAGGTGTTTTTCCCACCACAGGGATGTTAAATTTTATTACATTATGGTCACTGTTTCCAAGCGGTCCAGCTATATTTACCTCTTGGACCAGATCCTGTGTTTCAGTCAGGATTAAATCAAGAATAGTCTCTCTCCTTGTGGGTTCCAGAACCAGCTGCTCCAAGAAGCAGTCATTTCAGGTCTCAAGAAATTGGATCTCTGTGTCCTGCCCTGAGGGGACACGTACGCAGTAAATATGGGGATAGTTGAAATCCCCCACTGTTGTTGAGTTTTTTAGTTTGATAGCCTCTCTAATCTCCCTTAGCATTTCATAGTCACTATCACTACTAAGTCAGTGCTCAGTTTTAAACTTTTGAAAGCACCCGGAATATTGTGTTCAGAGTGGCAAACACAGCGGCGTTACGAATCGCCTCCCTTCCTGAGGTGTTAATAACTTTGAGGCTCAATCTGAAAGAGCCACTGTAAATCTGTCCCAGGCACATCTCCCCTCCCCTCTCACCCCCCCGCCACACACACACACAGCGCCACCACATCCACCGATGTGGCTTGCCCAAGGTGACTCAAAGGCCGTGTTCCCATCTATGTAGCTTTGTGGGCTTTGCCTGTAAGGGCAAAATCTGGGTGGGGTGCAGGGAAGTTCTTGTGCAGTGTCACTGAGGGGTGGAGAGTCACCGGGCCCTATATCCCCTCCTTCCCAGCCATCCACAGCCAGACGTGACTCTCGGGCGGCAGGTAGAACAGAAGGGTTATTGGTTCACAGGGGCACAGCGTAGTACAAACGTGTCAGCGCAGGAACCAGAAGCAGCTAGAGTCACCGGGCCCTATATCCCCTCCTTCCCAGCCATCCACAGCCAGACGTGACTCTCGGGCGGCAGGTAGAACAGAAGGGTTATTGGTTCACAGGGGCACAGCATAGCACAAACATATCAGCACAGGAACCAGAAGCAGCAAGCCCCATCCATCCTAGGGAGAGGGGGACCCAGAGCCAAGGGCTTCCCCCCCATCTCTGCACCCCAAGCCAGCCAGACTCACTCACACACCCAGCAGCTGTCTTAGCCCTGTGGCCAGCCCCACCTCTGATTACAGAAACACACACACCTGACTCATGTTACAGAAACACACACAGCCCCCTGACTCATGCTACAGACACACACACACACACACACACACGCCCCTGACTCACGTTACAGAAACACACACACACGACTGAAATACACACACACACACCCGACTCATGTTACAGAAACACACACACCCGACTCATGTTACAGAAACACACACACCCAACTCATGTTACAGAAACACACACACACACGAATGAATCACAGACACACACCCGACTCATGTTACAGAAACACACACACACACACACACACCTGATTCATTACAGAAACACACACACACAACTGAAACAGACACACACCCAACTAATGTTACAGAAACACACACACACTGCTGACCCAACTAATGTTACAGAAACACACACACACAGCTGACTCGGGGCTTTTTTGCGGAAAAGACTACTGTGCTGTCTACACTGGCCTTTTTCCGGAACAATTTTTCCGGAAAAGGACTTTTGCCTGAACGGGAGCAGCATAGTTTTTCTGGAAAAACACTGACAATTTTACAGTAGATCGTCATTGCTTTTCTGGAAAAGCAAGCGGCCAGTGTAGACAGCTGGCAAGTTATTCCGGAAAAGCGGCTGCTTTTCCGGAATAAGTGGCCCAGTGTAGACACAGCCCTGTTGTACTAGATCATGGAGGACTGGGCCAAGTAGCCACTTCAGGAAAAATGATAGATGGATGAATACTTTTTTTCTTTCTCAGTCTGCCCAACAGTTCTTCTGTCGTCTTTCCCTTTTACTGTTCCCCTTGATTTCCTTTTTCCCTGGCACAGAGAATGACTCCTAGTTGGATTCTCTTTCTTTTTGTTCCAGCAGGCGAAGGTACAGTGGGTGAGATCAAGGAAGAGAATCCACAGGAGGAAAGTCCTGAGCCACAAGAACCATGTGAGATGTTTTCAGGGAGATCTAAAGAGAATTTTTCCAAGAGTGCAGAGCAGGGAAAAGTCTGGGAGAATCAGCCCAAATCAGAGAGGCCTCTGGGAAACCACAAAGGGGAAGAAATGGGCAAAAACATTAATTGTAAGAGAAGATGGAAGAAAACCGCAGCCCAAGAGAAAATCCAGACGGAAGAGAAAAAATACACATGCACAGAGTGCTGGAAAAGCTTCAGTCGTAGTTCAAATCTTATAGCCCATCAGCGAATCCACACAGGAGAGAGACCCTTTAAATGCACCGAGTGTGGGAAAAGCTTCATTCAGAGGGTAAACCTCATTTCTCATCTGCGAATTCACACGGGGGAGAGACCCTACAAATGTACCGAGTGTGGGAGAAGCTTCAGTAAGAGATCACACCTGAATACACACACGATAATCCACACGGGAGAGAGACCTTATAAATGTACCGAGTGTGGGAAAAGCTTTGGGCAGCGCTCCCAGCTTAACACCCACAAAATAATCCATACAGGAGACCCATCTGAGATAACCCACACCAGAGAGAAACACTATACGTGCTTGGACTGTGGGGAAAACTTGAAGTGGAGCTCTGAGCTTGTTACACATCAGAGACTCCACACGGGAGAGATCCCGTACAAATGCTTCGACTGTGGGAAAAGTTTCATGCGTAGCTCCACCCTGATCTTACACCAGAGAATCCACACCAGAGAGACACCCTATCAGTGCCCCAGCTGTGGGGAAAGATTCAGATGGAGTACACAGCTTGTGAAACATCAGATGCTCCACACAGGGGAGAGACCCTTTAAATGCCCCGACTGTGGGAAAAGCTACAGCGACAGCTCGTCCCTTATTTCACATCAGCGAACCCACACGGGGGAAAAGCCCTATACGTGCGTGGACTGTGGGAAAAGCTTCAATCAAAACTCCACCCTGAACAGACACAAAAGACTCCACACGGGAGAGAAACCCTATAAATGCACCGAGTGCGGGAAAAGTTTCAGCCAGCGCTCAAACCTCAGTGTGCATCAGCGACTCCACACGGGAGAGAAGCCCTATAAATGCAGCGAGTGCGGGAAGCGTTTCAATCGGAGATCCAACCTTCGCGTGCACAAAAAACTCCACAAAGAAGAGAAACCTTGAGAGTGGGAGATGCCTTGAAAGGGGCTCCGATTTCATGAAGCAGTAGCAAATCCATACAGGGAAGAGACCTCTTCCGCATTCTGAGCATGGAGAATACATCAAGCAGAGTTAATGGGCTTGTCTACCCTACGCAGCCTTGGCCGAGAGAGTTCCGCTGGCAGACTCACCCAATGGAGAAACAGCGTAAGCTGATGGAGATCTTCTGCCAAAATAGTTATCCAGCCTCCTGGAAGGAGATTAGCTAAACCCACTAAAGCACTAGCTGTGTCTAAACTCAGAAGTTTGCCAGTCCAGCCATGGTGGCTGGAGGGGTGTGATTTTTTTGGGGGGTAGGGGGGAGTTGGCTACATTCTTAGCCAACAAAGCTATGCCGGCAATTATGAAAGGAGCTATCTTCTGTCATCCAATCCGAGCACATGGCCATCAGAGGTTTAGGGACCCCTAGAAGACAGAATTACATCCCAGACCACCTTGGCTAATAGCCATTGATGGGCTCGTCCTTTTTATCTAATTCTTTTTTTTTTAACTCCCAATTATAATTTTGGCCTTCACGATATCACCTGGCAAGGAGTTCCACGGGTACCTTTTTATCTAATTCTTTTTTTTTTAATTCCCAATTATAATTTTGGCCTTCACGACATCACCCGGCAAGGAGTTCCACAGGTAGATTGTGTGTTGTGTAAAGAAATACTTTCTTTTGTTCGTTTTAAACCTGCTAGCTATACATTTCATCATTTTCCCCCCCTTAATTTCATGGATCTTCTATCCGTGCCACAGAGAACGTATCTTCCCCTTCTTCCACCACTGTACTTCCCAAAGTGGCACATGGCACAGTGTTTTCAGGTCTCCATGCTTGGGAACTACACTTTGATTACTTTGATCCTAAATCAGGAGGGCTGGAGCTGAAAGTGTCACACACCCAGAAGGGGAATTTGAATAAATTCCAGACACAGTAGGATCATCTGAGCATGAATCCCAGTTTCCATTTGTTAGTGAAGAGACTTCTGGGGTTTTGCTGGCCGAGTTCAGTATGTTTCCAGATGGGAAGGGATTTTCTTAGTTGAGAGAGCAGAGGTGTTTTATTTCTTGCATTCTTTCCCCCTTCATTATGATGATGATGAAAGTTTTGTACGTCGCACCAGGCACAAAGAGAAGCAGGCATAAGGCAGTTTACAGGAGAACTTTGCTAACACAACTTGCCGTGTATTTCAATGTATACATGTACCATAATCCCCTGTAGGGTGGGCTGGTCTCTCTTTCCTAAGAGTGGTCACATAGTTGGATAACATCAAGTGTTACCTTAGGGTATATCTAGACCACCAATATCCCAAAATAGCTACCTCGCGTCTTTTAGACATGCTCGTTATTCCGAAATATTTTTCAAAATAATGGGTGTGCTATTTCGGCATCCCTGTAACCCTCGTTCCGCGAGGGTCAAGGGATGTGTCAAAATAGCACGTTATTTCGAAATTTGTCTGTGTAGACATGCCAAATTTCAAATTTCAAAATACAATTGAAATAAGATGCACAAATTGCGTATCTTATTTCAAGTTTAGGGTGCTGTGTACATGCAGCCTTAGAGATTAACCAAAATAAATATATAGAATCATGAGCTTTCGTGGGCAAAACCCACTTCCTCAGGTGAGCTGGAGTGGAAACAACAGAAACCAAGATATATACATAACAGCAGAAGTACCTGTCAGTTGTAGGATCCATATTAATGAAGCAAATTAAGTGGTCTGGATGTATCCCACACATAGCTTTTGATGTGGATATGCAGATGTTAATGGCAGGAGAAATTGGCTTCGTAATGGGCCAACCAGTTAATGACTTTGTTTAGGCCCATGGTAAGGGTGTCAAATCTGAAGATAAATTCCAGTTCTGTAGACTCTATTTCACTAACCATTTACAGAGAGAGTCATTAACATGCATCCTACAATTGACAGGTACTTCTGCTATTATAGATATATCTTGGTTTCTGACATTTCCACTCCAATTCATCTGAAGAAGTGGGTTTTTCCCATGAAAGCTCATGCTTTTTAGATCGGGGTGGCCAACCCATTCTGGGTAAAGAGCCAAGACAGCAGTGGATCCGGCGCAAAGCACTGGGGCAAAGTTGTTGAGCAAAAAAAAAAAAAGCTCTTAAAAAAAAAAAAAAAAGGCTCTGTCCCTTTAAAAAACCGCAGTTAAATGTGTTTTGAGGTTTTTGGCCACAGCAGGCTCCCGCCGCCTGCTGCCATCTTTATTTCTGCAGCTTTCATGGCTGCGCTGGACGGTTCCCCTTCCCAGGTCAGCACAGGGAGCCGGGAGGAGAGGGTCATTTTTGGGGGCCCAGGGGCAGCTTTCAAACCACGGGAGGGAGGCTTTGCAAGCCGTACCCAGGGAGGGGGAAGAGTCGCATGTGGCTCTCAAGCCTCGGGTTGCCCACCCCTGTTCTAGATATTTATTTTGGTTAGTCTCTAAGGACACATCCACACAACAGGGCTAAACTCGAAATAAGCTACACCATTAAGTCGAAATAGCGTATTTTGACTCTTGGCGCTGGCTACACAGCAGTTATTTCTAAATAAAGCACCCTCCCCTAACTTCCCTTGCTCTTCATGTAATGAGGGTTACAGGAGTTGGAGTAAGAAGCCCATGGTTTTGAATTCGTTTCGAAGTAACGGGCTTGCTGTGTAGATGCGCACTGACGTTATTCCAGAATAACTGATGTTATTCCGAAATAATGCTGCTGTGTAGACCTAGCCTAAGGTGCCACAGGACAACTGGTCTTTTAAGTTAACACGGCTACCCCTCTGAGATTTTTTTTCACGTACTTGGATATTAGTTTTCTATGACAGGCTATAGGGCAGATTTATTGGAGACTTCATGCGGCAACACGAAACATTGACCTTATTTTACTTTTTGCCATTTCCCCAGAGATGCTGGGACAATTTGTACATTGTGGGAACCTTGCATATGATGGAGACCGCTTCCAGCTCTGGCTATCTGTGGGGCTGAGAAACTGAGTGGCCTGAGATGATGGTGGGGATCATATCGGGGTCATGGAGAATTGGCTAGGGAAATATAGCAGAATTGATGGAAGTTAGAGACAAAGCAGGAAGCCGCTATTTGTAGGGTCACTGAGTTGGGACCAAGACTAATGGAGGGGCTTGGGTTCCCCCACTCACCACTGGGGAATTAGCTGTACAATAGGACTATGAGATATATATATATATATATATGAGGGAAATGTAGAGGACAAACTAGTCAGAGAGATGACTTGGGAAGGACACAGAGAAAATGATGGCATGGAAACTTGCCATCCAAAAAGCTGAGAGAGCAACTATAGGTAGACTCAGGCCGTGTCCAGACTCAGGGGTTTTTTCGGGAAAAGTAGCCTTTTCCCGAAAAAACTTCCCCTGCGTCCAGACTCAAGCCGCGTTCTTTCGAAATTATTTCGAAAGAACGCGGCTTTTCTTTCGATGGCGGTAAACCTCGTTTCACGAGGAAGAACGCCTTCCTTCGAAAGTTCCTCTTTCGAAGGAAGGCGTTCTTCAATGTAAAGAGGCCGTCTTCGAAAGAGAGCATCCAGACTCGCTGGGTGCTCTCTTTCGAAAAAGCGGATTTCCTCTATCGAAAGATCCGCCTGCAGTCTAGACGCGATCTTTCGAAAGAGGCTCTTTCGAAAGATGCTTTCGAAAGAGCCTCTTTCGAAAGAAGCCTGCAGTCTAGACACACCCCTAGACTGGCCACGGACACTTTTCCACAAAAAAGTGCTTTTGCGCAAAAGTGTCCGTGCCAATCTAGACGCTCTTTTCTGCAAATGCTTTTAACGGAAAAACTTTTCCGTTAAAAGCATTTGCGGAAAATCATGCCAGTCTAGACGCAGCCAAAGTGTTTTCCCCCACCTCTGCCATGAGATGTTAGCATTGTTCAAATGTAAGAAAGGCCAGGCCGGGTCAGACCAAAGATCCATCTAGTCCAGAGTCCTGTCTGCTGACAGTGACAATGCCAGGTGTCCCAGAGGGAGGGAACAGAACAGGGAACCATTAAGTGATCCCTCCCGTCGCCCACTCCCAGCTTCTGACAAACAAAGGTGCAGGACTCCATCCCTGCGCCCATCCTGGCTAATAGCCATTGATGGATCTATCTTCCAGGAATTTATCTAGTTCTTTTTCGAACCCCGTTACGGTCCTGGTCTTCACATTGTCCTCTGACAGAAAGTTCCACCGGTTGACAGTGGGTCGTGTGAAGAAGTACTTCTTTTTGTTTGTTTTAAACTTGCTATCTATTGATACCCAGGAGGCTGAGGAGAGCTGAGAAGAAAGGCGGGGAACTCCAAAATTCAGGGTGATTCACATCACCGAGTCCAGAGGCAGTGAAGAGCTGGGACCCGTCACCTGGGTGCCTCAAGTTTGAAAACAGATTGGGGGAGACAGTTACAAGTCTATACCCCAGGACTTGCCTCGACGTGCCCTGAGAGGAGTGGTCCCCTGTGGTCGCTATCTTTGTGATATTTCACCCGAGGGGTGGTGTGCGGTTGTCACGGTTATTGCTGGAGGTGTGCATGGGGAACGTTGTAAGGGCTCTGCAACAGGTTCCAAAGGGCCTGATGAGAGTGGTCCCCTGGGGCGGGATAGTGTGGCTGTCGGAGCTAGTTCAGCCTAAAGCAGTGGTAGGCGACCTGCGGCCCATTGGGGTTTGAGGTGAGATCTGTGAGACATTTGGTTTATTGTTGCCCACGCGCAAGGCTGCCGGATTCTGCTGGTTTCTATCCGTGGCGTTTTTTCCTACGGGTCTCACTAAAGTGACACACAAAAAAGAAAGGGCGTGCGACGTGAGGTGGGGGCTGATTGCACCCAACATCGACGATGAGAGCCGGGCGCTCCTGATCCATCCTATCACAGCGCGGCTACGGTTCCGTCGGCACCCTCCGCACGTTCTAGGTACGCCAGCGCCGGGAACAAAAGGACCCTATCCCAGGAGACCGTCTCGGTTCCGACAGCCTTGCGGCCCTACTGAGATGAAGGAAGCCCACTCATGCGGCCCGCTCGCACGCGAAGGTTGCCCATCACTGGCCTAGAGGGAGAACAATCGACATGTTTCGACCCAGCCCAGCCATAGGTAGACAAGGTGCCAGCATGGGCTTTACAAAGTGTCCACGAAGAAGACTCTAAATACCAACAAATTGGAGTGAACGAAACACCCTGGTTCTGAAAAGAGACACAAGATCCGGCATAAAGAGAAGGCAAAAGATGACAGGGATGCTCTCATAGCCTCTCATAGAAAGTGGATCCTAATTCTCTTCCACTGCAGGAGCGCCTCACAGACTGACCATTGGATGAAAAAGCCCTTAGCCAACGGAAAAGTAACATATAGATAAGCTTCAGGGGGTAGGCGAGTTAGTCTGTATGGGATAAACTTAAAAAACAGCAAATGGGCTGGTAACACTTGGGCTGGTAGCACCTTATCGATTAACAAAACATGGAGATGGGATAATGAGCTTTTGTGGGCACAGCCCACTTCTTTCGGTCATCTGAAGAAGAGAGCTGTGCCCACGAAAGCTCACGATCCCATCT